CCCCCCCCCCCAACCCTGACGCTGGCATGTTCTCTTTAATATTTTTCTAGTACTAGACCTGCTTCTTAGCAAATATTAGAAGTGTTTTATAAAAGCAGTTCATGTTACTTTCCTGGTCTGTTCCTGCCATAAGATCAAATAAACTATTTACACTACTACACGGGAGCCCACGGGGGGGTTTTTTTTGGTGTCTTTTATGCTTTTTCTCCCCCCAACCAGTGATGCTTTGCAGGTGAGCAGCTGGAGCTTTCAGGGGAGTGATAGCCTGGGGGGGGAGGGAAGGGGGTGGCTTGGTTTGGGGTGGGGGGTTTTTTTGGTGGTTATTTTTTTTAAAAAATTCACTGTTTGCTTTTGTGCATCCGCTCGCTCAGTGGCTTTAAACACACCTGGAGGGGGCTTTTTTTTCCCCTCAAAGTGGAATTTTCTGGGGCTTTTGGGGTTGGGGACGGGATGGGAGGGACCACCACCCCCCCAGCAGCATGGTCCCAGAGTTGGGTCAACACTGACATTGAGTAATTCCCCAGGTCACTTCCAGCATCACGTTCCTCCTGGCCAGGGCACGGGGACAGGTCTGGATGGTGGCACGAGGGTGGCACAGGGGCCTCAGCCCCAGCAGACACCAGCCCCTCTGATAGCAGTTTGCCATAAACACACAAAAAACCCCCAACAGTACAAATATTCAAGTCCTGAACTTAGAACAACTTCATAACTCAGCCAAAATTCAGATTAAATTCTTAGATGGGTTTAACAAAAATCAATGTCAGGGGTGGGATTGGACCGAGCCGGTGACAAAGGGGACAACGAGCTGAGCAAAACTGAGCTAATAAACTACAAGCAAATTTAACCACTCTGATAGACACTGGTAACACTTAAAATTAACCAATCTTGTTAAAAACCCTCCCCATTTCAAGGCAGGAAGGCAGGGATGGAGCTCAGAGCCCCATCGGGCCGGGCAGGGGATGGTGTCACCAGGTGAGGGCACGGCTGGGTGACACGGGCACCGGCAGGAGATGAGGCTGAAAAATATGAAAGAAAAGGGAAAAAAACCCAAATAAACGAAGAAAAACCTGCAAAAAAGCCTGATCTCATTTCCTTGAAAGAAAAGGGAAAAAAACCCAAATAAACAAAGAAAAACCTGAACTAATTTCCCTTAAAAACTAAATGAGGCCTTGCCAGGATGGGATTGGAAGCAGGGTCCTTTTATTTCTCTTGCAAGAGCTCATTAAGATATACCTTTTATTTCTCTTGCAAGAGCTCATTAAGAGATATACAAAAAAAAGCCACCTCAGTAGTGTAATTTACATTTACAGGTTTTTATTTTTTAATGGAAAAATAAAGGCAAACCTCTTAAAAGTAGTATTTACTTAGAAACACTTTTTTCCCCTGTTATATTATGCAAATGCAAGGTGATAAGAGATTGTACCAAAATCCTAACACGTTGGTGAACCAGCAGGAGCCCTCACACCCCGATGCCCAGCACCTCCCAGATCCCTGTAAAACCCCCCTGAGACATAATTAATAATTAACAGCGTGTCCTTCAAACCATTCCTTGGGGTTTTTTTTTCTACCTGCTACGCCAGCAACTCAGTTCCAAACTCTTAAGTGCAGGAAAGTGAATCAACAAGGTTAATAGAAGACATTATTTGTTATATTATGCAAATGCAAGGTGATAAGAGATTGTACCAAAATCCTAACACGTTGGTGAGCCACCAGGAGCCCTCACACCCCGACGCTGCCCAGCACCTCCCACATCCGTGTAAAACCCCCCTGAGACATAATTAATAATTAACAGCCCGTCCTTCAAACCATTCCTTGGGGTTTTTTTTTCTACCTGCTACGCCAGCAACTCAGTTCCAAACTCTTAAGTGCAGGAAAGTGAATCAACAAGGTTAATAGAAGACATTATTGGAGTTGGAATTGGATCATTGGAATTATTATTTGGAGTAGCCCTGGGAGCCACGTCCTACAGGGCAAACCTGGAAGAAAGCCCCCATTTTGATATTAAACACACCACTGGATACAAAAAAAATTACCTTTTTGACCAAACTCAGGGTTTTTTCCCCCCTTCAAGTGCCAGGCAATGAGCAGCACGAACACAGGGGGAGCATCCCCCACGTCCCACCCCAGCTCCAGGAGCATCCCGAGGGGATACAGCTGCCACCAGCAGCTCGGAATTAAATCACTTAAAATGCAACTTTATACAGTATTCTTAATTAGCCTGAACCCCGTCACCGCCCCAGCAAGAAAATAACACTGTACAAACTGGAGCTGTCGGGGATTTATTCACTATGATCAGGAAGAAACGCACCCAGGAGGAAGCTGAACTGGAAATAAATCTTTCCAAGGGTTTTTTTGTGCCAAAACCCAGCAAAGAGGAGCCGGTCATCGGTTACTGGAGCTGTACAGAGCATTTAAAAACCAGAAATAAATACTAATACACACTAGAAGACAAGGTTTAATAATTGATAGAAATGTACAAAAATAATCCCCCGGGGGAGGTCTGG